CTATGCGATTATTACTTATAGCATAATTCTACTGTTAGTTCTTTTGTTCCTGTAGTTCTTACTTGTTGCTGCATTCTGCTACATTTATTCGCGCGTGACGTGGCTTTCGCCGCACGCGACCATTTCGTTCCTACTGCTCCACACCCGCTCTGGGGAGCAGCGTTCCGATTTTCACATGCATCATTTGTTTAGGTCCATCTGCTTAACATTCTCGGAATTGGATCAAATTGCAAACGAAATTGTCCCGAATTCTAAATGTGCATTCTACTGGTCCCCACCCCCTCTCGGCTTTCTCTGCATTGAATTGCATTAGAATGTCTGCCAAGGAATGCATTGAGCAAGTACATGCATGGAATAGAAGGAGCGGAAAAATGACGAGAAATTGATGAAGCGAATCCGCGAAGATGGTCCCAAGAAGAGATTTGGGGGCTGAAAAGGGTCAGAGATAAGAATACGGCGTACTGTTTACAATAAAGTGGCATTTAACCTGAAAAATCCCTTGACGATCGGAATTTTTTCCGAGTTTGGCTTTTAATGGGTTGATGTAATATGTAAGGAGCGCAGTCAGGTTTTCCCAGAACGCAAGCTGTGAGCTTTTAACCGTGAAGGTGGAAAGACCTATATTGGGCCATCACCGCTTGTTCCGGTTTCCGATTTTCTTTCACCTTCTTAGTCTATCCTAAACTTTGGATGCAGAAATAACCACAATTTCATGGTAGTTCGGGTAATAGATTAGCTTTTGCTTCGCGAGCACTTTAGTATGGAATGTGCCTTTCTGTTATTACTTAGACCGGCGGCAAGAAAGTTCGTCATTCATTTTGGGAATGACGCATAACTTCTTGTTCATCAGTCCTTCCCTTGCCATTCTTTTGAAGTCGTTCTTAGCTTTGCCTGTTCGTTAAAACGTCAGCTTATTCTCGAAGTTCATGGTTACTTGATGTGAACAACACAAGGATTACAATTACTGGTGGGGTTTGCTACGGGAGCTAGCCCATCCCGAATAGACCAGATTGCTGCCTGTTCTGTAAAAAGTGTAGAGGGAG